TAGCAGAGCAATTGTTACACTCCTGGGTTCTAAAATTAAGTCTAAAACCAAGAAATCTTTTTGGGCTATGATCAAGTTTAATTTTTAAAAAGAAAAGCAACAACAATAAAAAACAAACAAAAAACTAAGCACCATGCATATAAATAAAATATGGCTACAGTCCGGAAATTGTGAGACATGACTTTAATCCCAGCACTCGGGAGGCAGAGGCAGAGGCAGGTGGATTTCTGTGAGTTCGAGACCAGCCTGGTCTACAAGAGCTAGTTCCAGAACAGCCTCCAAAGTCACAGAGAAACCCTGTCTCAAAAAACAACAACAAAAAGACTACAAATAACACAATGATATTGCTAGGTAGTGATGGGTCCCTCAAAAGAGACCTCTGATAAAGACTGGGACGCATCCAGAGATACAGTATGAAAGGAAAATAGATGCTTATTGCATAATCTCCCTGCCCCATAGTGCATTTGTTTTCATGGCAGTTTTCAGGAAACCACATCATTTGCAAACATTCCATCTCTACTATCTATGACCTTTGCAATACGTCACCATGGCACACTGGGAGCAGCATATCCTGAAGAAGAATCTATCTATTCCTGTCTCGATTCATGGAAGGTAAAATGAAGAAGCAAAACTTCAATGCTCTTAGGAGTTTGTGTTTTTTGCATTTCCAATGCCATTCAGAGCACTACAAACTTGAGGTTTGAACAAAGAATGAAAACAGTCATCCTTGGCTTACACTGGCCACTTTGCTTCAGTTTTGATTTCCTGATTTACTTCTAGATACTAGCTTAAACAACAGGATATTTATTTCCCATGAAAAAGAAAAGAAGATTAAATAGATGCTAAGTGGAAAAGACTACTATTTGCAGTCCTGTTATTATTCTTTTTAGAGGGATAATAAAAAGAATATTTTAAGCACTCTGCTATCTTACAAAGTAAAATTGATACTGAAAGGTTGAACTCAGGCTGGAGAGTTGGCTCGGGAGGGTTAAGAGCACTGGCTGTTCTTCCAAAGAACAGGTTCAATTTCCAGAAACCCATGTGGCAGCTCACAACTATCTGTAACTCCAGATCTGAGACATATATATGCAGGCAAAACACCCATACACATACAGAAAACATAAAACAAATAAAAATAAAATAAAATAAAGGTTAAACTCAACGTTTCTGCATGTGTTGCAGACATAGTAAGCATGCTTGGCAACCTCCCAACTCCTTATGAATCTTCAGGATAAAAATGTTCACAAGTCCTGTTCCACCGTGGCCTCAAAAAGAGGGTTAGAAAAAAAGTGAGCTATTAGCCCTCTGCAAAGTTGTCCCTGTCTGGAGCCCCATGAGAGAAGAGGCAGAAAGAGTGTAAGAGCCTAAGAGGCTGGAGGACACTAGGCGAAGCCCTCTAAATCAACCCAGCAAAGCTCATATGAAGCCACAGAGACCAAACAGCAAGCACAGGGCCTACACGGCTCTGCACTAGGTCCTCTGCATTTTTACTGTAACTCTCAGTTTAGTGTTTTTATGCAACTCCTGCGGGTATGGACGAGTGTGTCTCTGACTCTTGTGCCATCTCTCTGGGCTCTTTTCCTTCTGTTGTGTTGCCTTGTCCAACTTCAATGTGATGGGTTTTGTTTTATCTTTTATTTTATTTTGTTATGTTTGGTTGCTAACTCTTAGAAGCCTGATCTTCTCTGATGAGAGACAGAAAGGCAGTAGATCTGGATGGAAGGGGAGGTGGGAACGAACTGGAAGGAGCAGAGGGAGGAGAAACTTTAATCAGGATATATTGCATGAAAAACATCTATTTTTTAATAAAAGGGGGGGGAATAAAGTTGTCCCTTTCTCAAGTAATGAGACTGATGTGTCATTGCTCACCCAATGCCCATAGTCTACATAAGCCCTTCCCACACTGGTTTAAAAGTCTTCAAGTCAGCAGTTGAACCTTCTAGAAATTGGGATTTTATAAGATACATTATGAATTAACACTATACACACCCCAGAGCTAACATCCTGCAATGTGTAAACTCGTAGCTGCTTGAACGCCTTAAGTGAATACAGCTGTGACTCATGGGCCTCTCACAGAATGTTAGCAGGAGCAGTTTGAAAAATGCCTGCATGCTTGTGGCAATCCAAATAACTTCTAATTAAAATTCACATTCAGTTTAAAATACACCCTAACAGGTTAACTCGGCTTCCACCAAGCTCACCTGACTTTTAAATGACAAGCTTTAGAAAAGGTGACTACGACATTGGACATTGTTTCCAACTGAGTCCCAAAGAAAAAAAAAGGCTGGAGAAGCAAGTGGAATTTAAAGAGCTCATTTTCTTGGGCCTTCGTTTCGAGCGTTGGGCTATTTTTGTCCTTTTTTTTAGCTGCAATGCCATGCTGCCTGTATATGCAAGCATTTGTGATGAGGCGAGCACAGGGACCCACAGCACAGCTGTCCAATTTACATTCACAAATGCAGGTGTTGCTCAGACACAAAGCAAAGGTCGGCTGAACACTGCTCCTAATTACCTACCTTGTCTAAGAGGGTTTTCCTTTGTAAAGTTAGTTATGCATGCAATTTGGGTTCAACTTGGAGACCATTTTTAGATCCCAGCATGCTATCCAGCAAGAAATGGGCTGTCATTATAAAACATAATTTACAGCATAGTTAATTTTACATTCTAAAAAAGTCTACTGTATACCTAAGACAAAACTCTATTCTGTGTATGCATTATTCACCATTTTCCATCTACTTCTTGGTATTAAGAAACATGGGGAAGTAGAAACTGTTGTTATGTAGAAATGGGAAGAATGTCTTCCTATCTCTAAGATGACGTTAACGATTCTAACGATGAAGACTAAGGACTTTGTTAAATGATACAAGAAGAGACGTAGCTATTATCTGCCACTGTCTGCAGTGGGGAACACACCAGGGCTTATAACAGCAATTCTTAGAAATGGCCGGATGCAGGGCTGGGAACTAATATGAGCCATTAGGAAACCTAATCCCTAAATGAAATGACCACAAAATCCTACCAGTTAACAGAAAAGCAGCAGCTGTACATGTTTATAGTAATACAATGAGATACTGTTTCAGAGGTAACACTCAGGGAAAAAGAACCCAGCAGGTAAGGCAGCACGCTTGTTTCTCTATTTGGAAAAACTTAACAGGCAGAGCTTTGGAATACATAAGGAGGATAGAAGACAGACAATGTTTGCACTAAGGGGCCACAGAGACCAGCAGGCAGAGGCACTGACTAAGTCAAACCACAGAAACTCCCAAGGTTTGCAAGATGCTGGACACCCATCCCAGTAGCTCTTCATGGAAAGTAAAGTACAGTGGGCCTCCCTGGTTCCCATTACCCATCTTTCAAAAATGTATGCTACGGAAGCTTAAATTCAGTTTGACCTTAAACTTTACCACGATATTTTAAAAGCGTGCGTGCGCGTGCACGCGCGTGTGAGTGTGTGTGTGTGTGTGTTTGTGTGTGTACATGAATTATATATGCATATACTGTATAACACAGGATTCCAGACTGCTTTTCCAATGGCATCAATGTCTTCCTTCCAAAGCTTACTACAAAGTAGTAAAGCTTACAAAGTGTAACTGTTATCATCAATGTTCTGACAAATGTGTCTTGCTTGGTCTTGTTCACTAGAAGCAGTCCATCAAGATTCAGTTCTTAGCCCCTCAGAATTCTAGACTGACAGAAAGCCCTGATCTATAGCCATACTCTGCAGGAATGCAAAGTATCTTGTTGTGGTAAGTCAGGCTTTAAAGAAGAAATCACTGGGTCCACTCCTAGGATTGTTGTTCTTAATGCTCAGCATTCACAATGGGAAGCCCCCGGCTCTTGGAGATAATTCTAACCCCCTCCCGAGGGAAAGCAAACCCCACTCTTGACCATCCCCAAAGACTTCTAGACCATTTCCTTACTTGCCTCCTAGTTCCAGTGGAGATCACCAGCCTAATTCTTACAGACTGCTACTAAAATTCCAACCCGCTGAATTCTGCAGCCTAATTCTCCAGGCATTATGTTTTTTTGGCAGAATGAATGTGACCCAAATTTGAGGAGATTATTTGCTGCAACAGTGCTTGCAATGCCATGATTAGCATTCAGGTTTGCAAACTTTAGACTTTTAAGAGGCAAGTTCATGCTGCAAGAATGGGGCAGGTTTTTATCTTGTATTACAGAAAGGGAAATGCAAATACTTAGCAAAATGTGTATAGTTTCATGAATTAAGGAAGTTTTACAGATCTATGAGAAATTTAGGCCTATAAACTGACTTCGGTCCTTGGTGGCAAAAGGCGATAAAGCTGTTTTTTAAAGATTGGAAAGTTAGTGTGCAGATGTGTCCATGTGCTTGGTAAAACATCATGCATCCTGTTTCCTATCAAGAGTGGCTAATACTATCCTAAAAGGCCATTTTCAGACCTAAACTGTCTTTTAAAACAAAACAAAGTGGAAACTGTAACTACGGCTCTTCCTGTGTTTATCTACCACACTCTCAGAATGAGCTATTCATCATTGCCCCTCTTGTCAAGATCAATCAACTTTAATACAGCGTGTCAAGGGAGGGTTGAAAGATTTTGTCTTGACTAGACTGTTAATCGGGTTTTGAAAAAGCAGCAGCTATGTTCCCACTGCATGGGTGTACTAAAGCCTCTACAGCTAATGTCTCTCTCCTAGGACCTGTCTAGGAACCTGTCACTTTTTCTCTGGTGGGCTCTGGACTGTTCCCTCTTACTGTTGGAAAGCCACCTCTGGTTGGGATAGCAGCTGGGACTTCCTCAGATTCACTCACCCTCTCAGAACTCAAACACCAAGCCAAGAGAAATTGATGGACAAGTTACGGTAGGATGGGGTTTCTTATTCCAAAAAGTTAAGCGTGACAGGAAGAAACGGAGAAAACAAAATCAAAACACGCAAAAGGCAGGGCCACAGCGTGTCCTGCTAGGGCTAGGAGGCGCATGCGCGCAAGAGAGGTGGCCAGCGGCCTCACTCAGGTGGCTTACCTTGTTTCTTTTGAAGTAGGCTCTCCGGCAGGCCGCAAAGCACTTCTCGCTGCAGAAGCTTTTCACCTCACTTCCCATACTCAGGGAATAGCGCTTGATTCCCACTTTCTGGCACCAGGCACACATTATTTGTACATTTGACACATCATCTTCTATAATAAAAGTATAAGAAAAATGTTCATATCAGAAGCAAACATCCTTCACATTTAGACACACCCTGACCCCAACAGAGCTCCCGGGTCCGCTTGCAATTTACGAACCTCACCATTTTCTGATGGAGTAGGATGGCCAGTCTTAGGGAATGGGTGGGGCAGTAGGGTACATTTGTTTGTTTTTCTCCTTAGGGGCAAGTGGGTGCTGGTGTTTCCAAAGGCATTTTACTTAGAAGCCAGAGCATGACTACAAAGCTATAAGAGTTCCAGAACTTCTTAGCCTCCTCTCAAAGTGCCTAGTCAAACCAGCCGTAGTGATAAATGAAAGAAGCTTGTAAAATAAACAGCCCATTTATTCAAAGGTCCTGCAGAAAGTCTTCAAAATGGGCATTGGGTGGGGAGATCTGTGCCATGCAAACCTGTGTGTGCCATGCAATGCCCTCATGTGAACTGTGACAGTCAGGGGCAGCACTAGGCATGCTCCTGCCATAGTTAAGTGAACGGTGCTGTTGTTTACTATCTCCCAAGCCAGGTGTTTAATCAAAAAAGGAAAAATTGGAATGGCCAGATTCTGGCAACTGGCAGTGGGAAGGAAGGCCTGGTTTCCTGGGCCTTCCCCTATAATGAGCCTTCAGGCACTGGTGACCTCAGGCAAACATGGGCCTGATTTAACTGGGCTCCATTTGCTGTAGCTTCTGGGCCCTGGATGAAGGGTACTAATGAGGGTGTGATTGTATTCTCAGCCAGACTGGAGTGGGGGTGTCCTCTGAGCTCTCAGAAGACCCCTCAACCATGTCAACAAGGTGCTCAGATGGGTTCTAGATGGTATGCAGATATTTTTAATATTTAAAATGCTACATTTCATTTCATTTATAGGAAAGAAAAACTTAACTAGCATAAGCTACCAAGACTGTCACATCATTATTGCTTAAGACAGATGGGCTGTTAAAGAGAGCAAAGAGAATGAATTAAATTAAATATACTGAGTAAACCACAATGCAGATAGTAAGACATTACAGTAGGATGGGGCTGGTGACATTCAAATGTCTGAAGCTTTGGAATATTGGTCTCTTTTAGGGAAATAAAAGACGACATTAGAAATGTTTTAAAATATTTCCTGGCAGCCTCCTGGGAGCCTTCACTGTATTTTAATAGAGTTCTCTGTCCTCTCATCTGACTGTGTATGTATGTGTGTTTGCATATCTGAGTGTCTGTGTGCATGTGTGTATATGTCTGTATGTGTATAAATGTGTGTGTATCTAAGTATGTGTACATGTGCATGTTTGAGTGTGCATGTCTTTGTCTTAATGTATGATGTATGTGCATGTATGTGTATGCATGTGTGTGTACGTGTGTGTGTGTGTGTGTGTGTGTGTGTGTGTGTGTGTGTGTGTGTGCCACCTGTGTGGCTCTAGTTGCCACTATTAGCAGCAGTCCTTCTTTATAGAATCTGTTTTGTACTAACCCAGACTCATAATTCAGACATGAATGGGAATCACAAAATCCCCAACAAGCTCTAGTGTAGTGTGTATAATTTCTGAGTAAAATCCCCCAAAGACTAATTGCTAAGCAAGGCCTGATCCATGAGTTGTTGACATATTCATGGTTCATAAAGTCTGCCATGAAATCATTCCATTTCCAGGGAAAAGATTTTGTTTGAGGCACTGTGGTCATCAGCCTGCAAAATTAGAAACAAACTAATTTGTAACTCCGTGACATGGCTTTTCTTCCCAAGTATCCACTTAGAACCACCTGCAGCCCTTTATCTACTGTAAAAGAATAAACATTGTCATTTTAATAACTTGTACTATTTCTCAAATCACATATCTTAATCTATGGCTCATTATCAAACAAGACAGTATGAAAGAGGATCTTTGATGTTAGTAAACACTTTTGATAAGATAACATTCTTTAAATAAAGTCACAATATAAATTCAAATGTAACATAATTACTGCATTGATAAATGTGTTCTGTTCAGAAAGCTTTTATTTCTGTTTCATGTGACTTCTATATGATACCTGTCTACAAATAGATACTTCCCATGGCATGAAAAGTTAGCAAAAGCTGTCGAATTGACCATAGGTAAAATGGGCTCTTTGATTATTGGTAGTAGTTTAACTATCAGTCATCACTACTAAACTAATTAGAACTGATAATATCATCCCAATTGACATAAGGCCTTAAAATCTTAAGTTCCTGAAAAACAAGATGACAGTGTGGAGCTCTCACAAATGACCCAGTGACAGTGGTCTTGGTTCTGGTGAAATCTGTAAGGAAGACAATGTCATGAAGGAAACCATTTGTTCTCACAGTTTAACCAGGACTCCGTTTCCCAAGAAACCATTTGACAACATTCATTTCTCCTCAGCATTTCTTCCTTTAAATCATCTGGTTTAAAAAAGAAAACATGAGTTTTAAAGTCCTGGCTCTGCCAGCTACAATGTACTAAAGCAGAGACTGGGAGGGGCCATGCTAGCCCAGCACTTGGGAAGCAGAGGCAAGTAGATCTCTGTGAGTTTGAGGACAGCCTGATCTGCACAGAGTGATTTCCAGGACAGGGTCCAAAGCTACAGAGAAACCCTGTCTAAAAAAAAAGCCAGTGCTTAGCCCACCACAATGGCCTGGCCCAGGGCATCCCAGATTACCAGAGAGGCCCACTTGTCATGTTCTAAAGAGTGGCAAGGACTTTTTCCTACAACAGAACCTAGCAAATAAAAGCATAAAATTTTAAAACACATTAGGCCCATAAAATATTCTCACTAGAAAGTTGTAATGTGGAAGATAAGACAAGGGAATTGTGAATTTTTGTTTCTGCGGTGAGAAGAGTTGTTAGCATCTGTCCGGTGAAATAAACCAGCATTCCTGTCCATTCTGCTCCCCGAGGCAAATGCTCTGGGAGAAGCACAGAAGATATCTCATCTTCTGCCATCAAAGTTCTCAATAGCCAATGACCCAAAGATGAGTCTGAGAAGTGTGTTATCCCAAGAGTTCACAAAAATATTTTCAGATACGACAGGTGTTCCAGTCTTATAACAGCTAATTAATGACACACTTTGGAAATTAAGGAATTGTGATGAGTAAATGAATTTCATCAGTCAAAACACAGCTCAGATTCTGTCACCAGACACAATGTCTTAGAGAATGACTGCCTCTAAAAATCGAACTTTTCCTACGAAATTACAGTCAAAATGTGTTTCAATTTAATCTTTTTTTTTAACCTTGAAGTGTATATAGTGTGCTGTTTAGCTTTTATTGTCAATTTGATACAACCTAGAGTCACAGGGAAGAGAGAACTTCAGTTGAGGATTTACCTAGATCAGATTGGCCTGTGGGTGTCTCAGTACAGAATTATCATGATTACTAATTGATGTAGGAGGGCCCAGCCCACTGTGGGCAGTCCCCGAGAATGAGCCAGCAAGAGGCTTTCTTCTATAGCTTCTGCTCCTGTCTTGAGCTCCCACGATGACTTACCTCAGTGACTGACTGTGACCTGGAAATATAAACCAAGCAAATCTTCTTTTTCCCAATTTACTTTTGGTCAGACAATTTCAACACAGCAACAAAAAGGAAACTGACTTCTGATAACGGCCATATGTGTTTTACCTTGGCGAGCTAGAAGGTTTGGCAACTTAACTTTTTCCTAAGTGGATCTGGTTTTTAATGTTTTATATTTTCAAAAGTCTTCAAACTAGATAAAATCTTATTTCCTATCTTTTATGTAGGCTAAAAGTCTGCACCATTAGAGACTTGGGATTATATCACTGAAGACTCACATGACAGGCTTATATTACAGCTTATGTTACAGCAATTAGCCTGTATATTTTTCATAATGAACATGCAGCAAAAAATGCAAAATGTTTAGAGCATTAAATAACATTCCCCAAATGAACAGTTTGTATACCATGATGAAATGTTCATGTGCTGTCATATAAATATATATCAATGTGCATGTTTCCATTAATCATGAAAGTTGGTACCACCTCTTCAGCATGTAATTACACAAAATGTTTGCAGAATTTTCTTTCTAATCTAATGCTCAAAGAGCTGTAAGACATTTTTTTCTATTATGCATTCCAGAAGAAAAAATTCAGTTTAATAATTTTAAGATTAAATAAAAATTGTATGTATTTATTATATTACAAAGAAGTATGAGATTGAATATTTCTGGAATGCCTCACTGAAGTGGCTTGAGCAATTGCCTTATCCAGTAAGTTTTAAAAATAAAAATGGCCATTGGTCAGTGATCTTCTTAGGTCATTTCAACTGAACCAATGAACACATATACTGATTACTTGATAAGTGCCCAAAGAAAATCAAGAGGGCCTAAATAGACCCCAAACAATTATGTTGTCATTTTAATTGCAACTTTCATGAAAATCCAAAACTGAGGGAAAAATGGAAAGTATTTGCTGGTGTTGTTTATCTCCTGCCACAATTCCTAGAATTCATGAACTCAAATATTCATTTTAAGACCTCACATGTATTTGAAACATGTTGTAAAGTTGCCTGAAGATGCTCCTATGTGCTCCCCATACCACGAAATGACAGCCTGGGCAGTACTCATGTCACTCTGTTTGTGGGAACAGCTAATTTAAGAACAGAATAAAGGGAAGGGCCAATGAGATGGCATGGCTGGTAAAGGCACTTGCCACCAAGCCTGATAACCTGAGTTCCATACCCAAGACACACATGGAGGGAGGACAGAAAAACTTCCAAAAGTTGTCCTCTGACCCTCTCTACACACACACTTGTTTTACACACACACACACACACACACACACACACACACACACACACACACACACACACACACGGCAGGCAAAACTAGAGTTTAAATTTGATTTTCTTTTCAGTCTCTTTGCAAAAAAAAAAGAAAGAAAGAAAGAAAGAAAGAAAGAAAGAAAGAAAGAAAGAAAAGAAATTTCACCTTAGAATGATTCAGTTCTAAAGCCCTTAAGGCAGTCCAAGTTAATAGTCTCTGTAGCAGTGGTTCTCATCC